CCTGGCCAGAAACCTCATCTGGATGTAAGTGTTCCTTTCGCAGAGCGTCTGGATGGCCATGGCGCCTTTAACTTGCACGCTGGTCTTCCTTCCCCTGAGAAGCTCCACAAGGGGACTGATCACGTGCGCTTCCACGATGGCATTCTGCATCTTCGTATTCCCCCGCGCGAGTTCCGCGATGGCTGCGGAAGCCACGGCCAACAGCACATCTGGAGGCAGGGGGGAAAGCATCGGAGTGGTATGAAATCAGCCACATTTACTGGCTTTTAAAAAAAAACAAAGAAAGTTGTGGGAACACCCAAGAGGGAAATGAATTTTTCAATCTGTATATTGAAAACGTGTGAACTTTTAAACATTTTAAAAAGAATGCAGGAGACCTGCTCAACCAGTTAATGAAAGATGATCCTTCTACTGTAAAAGGGGCAGAAACACTAATGCTTGGAGAAATGTTGACTTTGCCTCAGAACTTTGGGTAAGAATTGCATATAGATTTATAGTTTGAGACCATTCTTTTTGGGAACTTCAGTCTGGTGTAAAATGATCGTAAATCCTATCTATGCCACTGATTTCTCACTAGCAAGCATAAGTAGGACCTCAGCCTTGGCCTATTTTTACTTCCCTGTCTCTAGCCCATGCATAAAGCATGTTATGTAAAGCAATAAGCTTTTCTGTAGCAACAAGCTATTTTCAAGAGTTGCTCACCAGCACTATTTTAATAGTTTTGGGATTAACAAGCCAGGCATCAAGGCTACTAACTTTGAATCAATGGCAAATCTGTAAACATTCGTAGGGGTTGAGGGCATGGTTCATTGACCGATCACCTGCTTGGCATGCCAAAGCTCTCTGGTTCAGTGCCCAGAATCTCCAGTTGAAAGGATCAGGTAGGAGGTGATGTGAAAGACCTTTGCCTGGGACCCTGGAGAAGTGCTGCCAATCTGAGTGGGCAATACTGATCTTGCTAGACCAGTGCTCTGAGTCAGTATAAGGCAGCTTTGCATGTCCAACACGTGATCTGGCCTTCTTGGGAGCTGGAGCTGGTGAGAATCTGTCCTTATATATAATTGAATAGTGGGTGCCAAGGTTCTAATTCTAAAATGCACTCCCTTAGTGTATGGCTGATGGCACTGCTCCTCAGCATATATCGCCACCAATCAGAAGGCAAAGCCCGGGTCCCGCCCACACCACAACTGCTGCGACAACCTGGTCTTTTGCATATGGAAGCTGATTGGACTTCAGTCCATTCCACACCTCAAACTCCCCCCCCCTCCCCGCAAGGCAGTTGGAATTTTCAGTTGCATAACATACCTCATAGGGGAGAGGAGAATGGGTAACAATGGTTACCACTCTCCAGGTGAGGGCTACAGATAACTCAAACATACAAATGCTCTTCAGGTAGCAGAGATCAGTCCCTCTGGAGAAAACAGTGGACTCTGTCATTAAACCCTGCTGAGGTCGCCACAGGAAACTGACACTGTTTGCCCAAAGCCAGAGCACTCTCCTAGAGCCTCTTTCTAGATCCTGTTGTATTTATTTCTGCAACGGGCATTATTTCTAGTCTGCTATAATTCTGGAAGATCTCCAGGCCCCACCTGGAGGCTGGCATCCCTACCGTATGTGTTCACAAGTCAGACTGCAACCAGTTACAGATTAATACACTAACCATAGTAGATGAGCAAAACAATTAATTCATCAAGTTTCAGATTAGGTTCCTCGGCAGGGGGGGCCAGGGCCCTAGGAGGCTAAGAGGAACATCTGAGGAACATCTGTTTGGCATCTCTTACACTATGCCTACCAGGGGATGTTTGGTGTGTGGTTTGTCCTCTCTGATATCTTGGTATGGATGCTGTGTAGTTTGAGCACTTGTTGATTGGGTTTTAAATTTGTACAGTATGTTTTTAAATGTACTAAAGTATTGATGTTTTTATGAGCAAGTTTTTGCCATGTAAGCCGCCCTGAGCCCTACGGGGGAGGGGGGGTATAAATTTAACAAATAAATAAATAAATAAAATAAAATAGTTCCCCCCCCCATCTCAACGAGAAATCAGATCTTTATCAGTAAATTAGCACAATTACAATATATAATCCAAAAACACAAATTTTATTCATCATGGTGGTAAATTAGGGGGCCCAAATTTGTTAATTAATCTGCAGCCCTGAAAGGACACAGAACAGTTTATCTAACGAACGATGGCCCATTACAATCTTATGCAGAGTTACCTCATTCTAAGCCCATTGGTTTCAACAGGTTTAGACTGGAGTCTAATTTGAGATTTGCGGATGACACCACAGTACTGGCAGTAGACACACATAAGCAGCATCACCACTATACAGAAATACAAACATAAGCTCATATCGTTACACAGGGCTGCTGAAGCATCCCTGAAAAGAGGCTGTGAATGAGTTTTCTTATGTATGGAGTCTTGAATTGCCCAAGGAGAGACACAGATGTTTCTCATCCACCCTGTTGGTAGCTTTGGCCCTATAATAGCCACCTTTTTTATTATTATTTAAAGTTTTTTATTGTTTTGAACAGTATTATACATAGTAACCAAAACATATTACAGTGAGTTTCGTTACCTCCTATAACTGTTACATAACAATGAACAATACTTTCTTACAAACATTAGTAATCTGAAACAATTTACATTAAATATGTTATACATTGTGAACATGAAATACACTGTGTTTTGTAAGCATAGTACTAATATAAGTAAAGCAGTGTACAATTAAAAAAATTCCCCCCCTTTTATGTATTTATTATTATTTTGCTATTTAACTTGTAATGCCATTTACTAACAGAAAGGAAAAGTGTTTAAAATAAACAACATTTCTATGCAAACAACCTAACAAATCCATTTGTCAAATTGGGCCCATTCAGAGGAAATAAATTGCTGCTGAGATAGAAAGTCCAACACTGGGTACCACTTCCCAACAAACCGCTCCTGTGTTGAATTCTGATGTGTAACATCTAATTTACTGGTAACTGCATCCATAAGATAATGGTTCCACAGTTTTCGATACCAAACTTCAATCGTTGAAATAAGGATCAAGAAGATGCAGGGGAAATCACGGGGGGAGATGTGGGTCAAAATGTGGTCACACAGCAAATAGTCGGAAATTGAGCCAGTACAACCGGGGAAAACGGGAGACCGAGGGTGGAACAACTGCTTTTGCAGAATCGGTCTGAGACTGGGAAGTGTAGCCATCAAGGAGCTAGAAAAGATCCTTAACTGTAAGAATAACCGTAAGAATGTGTCGCTGGTGACAAAGATCAAGTTAATTCATGCCGTAGTATTCCCCATTACTATCTATCGGTGTGAAAGCTGGACAATGAAGAAAGCTGACAGGAAGAAAGTGGATTCATTTGAAATATGTTGTCGGAGGAAAGTTGTACGGATATCATGAACCACAAAGAAAGACAAATAAATGGGTTCTAGTTCAAATCAAGTCTGAATTCTACCTTTGTCCCCACTACTGCTCCCAAGGGACTGCTGACACCAGGAACAAAATTTGGGGGGGTCCGTGGAATACAGTGGGAGAGGGAAGTGAGAACGTCCTACTCCACTGAAGTCCACAGATGGTTCAAGGGACCCTTATTTAGGAGAATTTGTACTCCACTTTTCGCAGTCAAAGGCCTTCTCAAAGCAGCGCACAGAAAGTATTTAACATTACAGTGAAATCTCAACTGCGCGTTATACATCTTGATGTCTTATAGGGGGTTCAGCCAGTTTGGTAATAAATCCAACTGAAATCCCAAGAGATGCTTCCCGAACTATGCTGTTCTGTTTCAGTTTTTTACCCGAGTCCGATGACAAGAACTGAACCAGCGGTTTGATGCCCCTGCATTCTTTCACTTTCAGCTGATTCGCTTTGTTGTTGATGCACAAAACACGGATACAGTTGATGACATTCACAAGCAGGTCTTCAATCTCATAGTGCAACCGATTGACAAGGGCTGGAATGGCACCCTAGAGGAAAAACACAGAAATCTATGGGTAGCATCAAAAGAAGTAGCAATGAGTATTCATGCCAAAGAGATGGCCGCTGCATAGGGAAAGCTGGTTTCCCTGTTAATCAAAGTTAAAAACCCAGCACATTTAGATTCTCCTTCCTTCCTTTGACTTTAGTACTAGTGGTTAAGACGATGAACTGCAGGTCAGAAGGTCGGTTGTTCAGCAGTTCGAGACCTGAGTGTGCCGCATGACGGAGTGAGCTCCCGTCTCTGGTTCCAGCTCCTGCCAACCTAGCAGTTCGAAAGCAAGAAATTGCAAGTAGATAAACAGGTACCACTTCGGTGGGAAGGTAACAGTGTTCCATGCACCTTGGCGTCTAGTCATGCCGGCCACATGACCACGGAAACGTCTTCGGACAGCGCTGGCTCTTTGGCTTGGAAACGGAGATGAGCACCGCAACCCTAGAGTCGGATTCGACTGGCTTTCGAGCAAGGGAACCTTTACCTTTTACCTAATACGGCTATAGAGGTGAACCAGGATTAATTTTTAACCAAGTTCGGGACCGTAGTTTTGATGTGTAATTCAGATCCAAGGCTAAAAGAAGCCCTAGTTCTCCTTAACAACATGTCAGTTGCAATGTACACTTTGATGCCCTCCTGACATGGGAGGTGAATATCCACCCAAGAAGCGAAGGAGACAGCAGAGGAGTGTATTTCTTATGGCTGGCTCTGGGCTTCTTAACCATGGTTATCATGGTTATCCCTTAAGCCTTTTGAAGGCCCTAGCCAGGACTGGACATGCCCAGAGGTCTCCCTCTACCCACATGGGGGTGTGGCCAAGCCTGTGAGGGACCAATAGCACCTCCTGGACATCCCCTTCCCGACCCCAATTGGCTTTCCAACAGCCAATTGTCAGACAGCCAATTGTCAGACAGCTGGCTGTCAAATCAATTGCAAGCATTTTGTTCTAGAATCTGGAATATATTTTTACACAGCAAATTTAAACTCTTTTAAATATGCTGGTTTCTTACAAAGAACTTGTAGAAAGGAGTCTTGGCATCCTCACAAAACTGTAAAGTACTGTTTTTGTCTATTATCGTTTCATCGATTGTTTTATCTATTAGTTGTTACTTGTATTATTATCATTGCTCTTCCGTTTGCCCCGGTTGCACAAATCAATTTCACACTATTTGCTGCACGACTGCATTTTGACCTGCATCTCCCCCCCAATTTTCCCCACGTCTTCTAGATCCTTGTTTTTTGCCATCGAGAAGATGCGGGAGAAATCGGGGGGGGGGAATGTGGGCAATGTTCCCTCTAAGCTGTGGAGTCTTGTGAGCAAAAATTCGACTTTGTGAGCTGCTGGCATTAAAGTTGTGAGCTAATGATTTGGCTACTGCATAAATTAGCTTGCTCTGGAGCCCTCCTCCCTGAGCTAAGACAAAAATATGTGAGCTGGAGGCTAAAATTCTGTGAGCTAGCTCACACTAACTCAGCTTAGAGGGAACACTGGATGTGGGTCAAAATGAGGCCGTGCGGCGAATAGTGTGAAATTGACCAATGCAACCGGGGCAAACGGAAGAGCAAGGGCGACACAGCTGCTTGTGGGGAATCGGTCACAGATTCCCTCTCTGTACTCTTCTCCCTTTCTTGGAGTGAATTCCTCCTCAGGTTGCCAACTCTTCCAGAATTACATCTGATTTCCAGATTACAGGGATCTATTCCTCTGGAGAGAACAGCAGTTTCAGGGAGCATACTCTATGGTGTACCATAGATTCTAAATGAAACCACTCTCCAATTCCCGTCCTCCACAGGAACTGCCCTCAAATCTCCAGGAATCCTCCAGGCCAGATTTGGCAACCCAAATTCTCCCTCCTGACTGGACCGGGCTAGCCCGATCTTGTTAGATCTCAGAAGCTAAGCAGGTTTGGCCCCGGTTTAGTATTTGGATGGGAGACCACCAAGGAAGTCCAGGGTTGTGACACAGAGGCGGGCCATGGCAAACCACCTCTGAACAACTCTTGCCTCGGAAACCCGACGGGGTCGCCATAAGTCGGCTGTAACTTGACAGCAATTTCCACCAATGTGCACCAAAGGTTGCCAAGTCCATATGCAGAGGGTATCTGCTTTGGAATCTTTGTGACAAGAGAATTCAAAAGCAATTGAGGTTTACAAGATGATGCATGGGAAAGAGCAGGTAGAGAAAGAGGTACTTTTCTCCCTTTCTCACAAGACAAGAACTCGTGGGCACTCCATGAAATTGCTGAGCGGTCGGATTAGAACGGATAAAAGGAAGTCCTTCTTCACCCAAAGAGTGATTCACACATGGAATTCACTGCCACAGGAGGTGGTGGCGGCTACAAGCATGGATGACTTCAAAAGGGAATTAGATAAGCCTATGGAGCAGAGGTCCATCAGTGGCTATTAGCCACAAGGTATAGATAGGGACTCTTGGGGCAAGTGATGCTCTGTATTCTCGGTGCTTGGGGGGGGGGCACAGTGGGAGGGCTCCTAATGTCCTGGCCCCACTGGTGGACCTCCTGATGGCACTGGTATTTCTGGCCACTGTGTGACAGAGTGTTGGACTGGATGGGCCTTTGGCCTGATCCAACATTGGTGTCTCTTATGTTCTTAAACACATTTCCTTTTCGTTCTCGTCGGGGCACTTTTTTTTGGGGGGGGGAAGAGGTGCCGGAACTCACGAGAGGGAAATGAAGTTTTCAATCTGTATACTGAAAACTCATGAACTTTTAAACATTTTTAAAAGGAATCTTGTCAAAGAGGTTCCGGAACTCTGCTCCAGCGAGTTCCTCCAGAAAAAAAGCCCTGGAACTTCTCGTCCATTTTTAAGGAGGGGGATCCAGGACAGGATCACACACACACACACACACACACACACGATAACAGGTGTTTGGGGGCACGAGGCTTACCAGTTCAGCAATGGCGGCCTGATAATCATCCAGCTGAGCGATGTCATGTAAAACGACCGCACAACGGGACAGCAGCTCCGGTTCATCGCTGGCCAACAACTTAATCAGCACCGTGACGCCTCCTGACTCGGCGAAGGCTCTAGCGATGGGGTCGTTGGTGGTGATGTTGATCAGCACCCCCATAGTGATGCATTCCAGCTTGACCGACTGGCTTTTCAACAAGTTGATGAGTGAGGGGATGGTCCCTGAGAGGAAGACAGACAGGAAGGGTCCAACGGGGAAGAGTCTGTGGAAACGTGGGCCTGGGTCCATCCAAGTCAGCATTGCCTACTCAGACTGGCAGCCGCTCTCCAAGGTCTCAGGCGGAGGTCTTTCGTGCCTCCTCCTACCCGCTCCTTTTAACTGGGGATCCTGGGGACTGGACCTGGGACCTTCAGCGTGCTGCGCAGACGCTCTATACCACTGAGCCGTCATAAAGGTAAAGGTAAAAGTTCCCTTGTTTGAAGGCACACAGGAGCAGGAGTGGAGAGGGTGAAACTGGGCAAAATGGCCCTCCACCTCTTCTGAGTTTACCCAGTTCTCTCTCCTCACTGTAGCCATCGGCTGCTGGTGGGGAAAAATTTACTCTGGATCCAACCCATTTCTTTCCGTGTTCACAAAATGGCTTCCTCCACCATTAGTAACCTATAGAATGGAAGGCACCGTACAGGTCTTCTGCGGGTCTCACCTGCATCCAAAATGAACTTCCAGTAGTGGTCTTTGGCGAGACAAAGAACTTCCAAACAGCGTACCGCCATTTCTCTCCTCACGTATTCGATACAGTCTAGCATCCCTATTGAAAAATTTAAGAAGGAAAACTGAAGACCTGTATCCAAAAATTGTTTTCCGACAGTGTCATGAGGAATTTATCTGTCTGACTAACGTGAATGAGCCTGGCACTCTATAGTTTTGCCTAGAGTGACCTCTAATGGAGTGATCCGCCCAATCCGGGTGCTTCGTCCATGGAAGTTTACGGTGCAAATGACCGCCCCAGGGAAGCATATCTGTCAATACATTGGTTAGTCTTTAAGGTACTGCAAAGTTTCATTGGCCTGATCTGGATTGTCCTGACCTGGATGGTCTAGGCTAGCCCAATATAATCAGACCTCAGAAGCTAAGCAGAGTCGGCCTCGGTTAGTAGTAGGAACTGCAACCTCCAAGGAATACCAGGGTTGTGACACAGAGCTGGGCAATGGGCAAATTATTCTGTTTACCTTGTTTGTTGTCAAAACCCAGGGCCTTTTTTTGTAGCAGGAACTCCTTTGCATGTTAGGCCACACACCCCGAATGTAGCCAATCCTAATGAGTTTCTGCTGTTGGGTGTGGCCTATTATGCTAATGCGTTCCTGCTGGGCGTGGCCAACTTGGGAGCCAGCCGGAACTCCGTTCCTGTGCGTTCCTGCCCCAAAATAGCCCTGGTTGGAAGGGAGTCCACCGAGGAAGTCCAGGGTCGCTATACAGAGGAAGCCAATGGCAAAACCACCTGCATTAGTCCCTTGCCGTAAGTCAGCTGTGACTTGACATGCACACAAAGTCTCCTTATCTGGGCAGAACTGCTCACTCCTTCAGCTGAGGGTGAAGGCAGGTGTCTGGATACTAGGGCTGCCGTGATCTGGGCTGTGCAAGTAAAGGCCTCGCAGGCCCAGGGAGCCTGAGTAGCAGTGGGAGGAGGCCAGGCCTACAACTCCCAGAAGCCCCTGAGAGGATTTGGGGCCAATTTTAGCCAATCGCAGAGAAAGGGGACTTATAATAAGAGACCTGGTACAGAAGAAGAGCTTGTTCTTTCTTCCAAGAGAGCAGGACCAGAGGGGAGGCTGCTGCTGGGAGAGACCCTCACCCTAAGAGGAAGGGTGGGTAGACTCAGGCCCCACTGAGACAAGGACCTAGGGACTGTGAGTCTAGTCGCATTAGGGCATTTGGTTTATTTTCCGTTCACCCACTTATCGTCCTTGCACCTTGTTTGTTTCCCATATTGGGCTGACCTCTTATAAAAATAAACCTTTTATTTGTTGTTTACTCTGCCTGGTCCTCACGCCTATTGTTCGGTCAAACAAGGGAGGTCTGAAGGTCTTGGGAGGGTGCTCTGGGCCTTCTCAAGGGATCCTAAATCCAGAGTGGTGGCGGCGTCAGGTGACACCCCACCTGAGCCGTGACACCCCTGGTCTGAGCAGGAGTTCCCCTGATTTTGGGGGCTCCTTCTTGCTGCCAGCCAGCTGGCCAGTGGGGGGAAGCCCCGCTCCCAAGAGCAACCACCCGGCCACCCCTACTGCAAGATTTAAAGGGCCCTCCAGCTGACCGGTGGGAGCACATGGCTCGCCAATCGGCTGGAGGGCTCTTTAAATCTTGCAGGAGCAAGGGAGGGAGAGGGGTGGCTGCACACACCTGAAAGCTGCGAATTCACAGCTCCCCCCCCCCATTCTTCTCCATAGGGACCCTTTAAATGCTGTTGGAAAGAAGTATGTGTGGGGGGTGTGCCGGTCCCCAATGTGATGATGTCACTTCTGCGTGACATCATCACGTTGGGGACATCCCCGCCCCCTCCAGTAATGCCCCCCCCCAAGTCCGCTGTCGGGGACTTTGAAGAACCTGAGGGACCGCCTTTCCCCGTATGTTCCCCCAAGAGCACTACGGTCAGGGGCCCAAAATTTTCTAACTGTGCCGGGCCCCAAAGATGCTAAATTGGCCGTCACAAGGGCTAGGGCTTTTTCGGTGGCGGCTCCCACCTGATGGAACGAGCTCCCGGAGGAGATCCGGGCCCTGCGGGACCTGATGCAGTTCCGCAGGGCCTGCAAGACGGAGCTCTTCCACCAGGCCTTCGACTAGGGGCCGCCCCCGCCCCCCCCCGGTTACATTACCATCATTGGGGGGGAGGGAAAGGGCCCTAGGAAGGAAGGAAGGAAGGAAGGAAGGAAGGAAGGAAGGAAGGAAGGAAGGAAGGAAGGAAGGAAGGAAGGAAGAAACATCTGTTTAACATCTATTATGGAGGACATGGAATGCCTACCGGGGATGTCTGGTTGTGGATGTGGTTGTCATCTCTCTGAGATTCCGGAATGGATGAATTGTAGTTGAGCATTTTAATGCATTGAGAGGGTTTTAAACTGTATAATATGTTTTAAATGTTATTAAATTATTGATGTTTTACTAGCAAAATTTCTTGCCATGTAAGCCGCCCTGAGCCCTACGGGGGAGGGCGGGATATAAATTTAATAATATATAAAATAAACCTGGCAACCCTACTGAATATGGGTGTGTGTGTTGGGGGGAGGGGGAACCCGGCCATTTTCAGGTTTTCAGAGAGAGAGGCAGCGCGAGAGAAACCGTGAGGCTGCCTTCCTATGCAATTCAGGAGTGGGAACTAAGGTTGCCAGCTCAAGGTTGGGAAATTCCTGGAGATTGGGGGGGGTGATGCCTGGGGAAGGGAGGGACCCCAGCCGGGGTGTCATGCCATAGAGTCCACCTTTTGAAGCTGACCTATTCTCTGCCCTTTGAGATCAGCTGGCCTTCCTGGAGATCCCTAGCCTGGAGGTTGGAGACGGTAGTGGGAACGGAGCCCTCCCACTCATCCTAGTGGCCACTTACGGCTGCATCCCACATTTCAGCTTTCTGGGTGTCCTGGAAGGACCTTAACCTCTTCCACCCAGTTATAGCAAGTTGTATAAACGTTTTATCGTGCAGAGGGGGCGGCATGATCTCGGCTAGCTGTAGAATGAGCTCCCGGAAGACATCAGAGCCCTGTGGGACCTGTTACAGTTCTGCAGGGCCTGAAAAACAGAGCTATTCCACCAGCCCTTTGGCGGAGGCGGTGGACGTCCAAATGACACTGGCCTTCCATTCCTCGCTTGCTTAATCTGCCCACTTTGCCTCCCTGTTTTAGGGCACTGCCTTTACCAGCTTGGCACCAGCTCCAGCTGACTTGGGTCTCTGCAGGGGTCATTTCGTAGAAAAAGAGGTGCAGGAGCTCATTAGCATAACTTATTTGCATATGACACACCCCCTGACATCACCGGAAGTGTGTCAGAAGGCAACACCCACCGCTCAAGCTCCACTGGACTGTTTTGGATTGCTAGCTATTGGGGGGGGGGGAACGTGCAGATCTGTCCTCGCAGAGGAGGGAGAGCTTGTACCTGAATAAAACTTGGTCTTAAAGGTGCCACTGGACTGTTTTGGGCCGGGGGGAGCTCTGCAACTTCTTGCTCTGACTGAGGGCTGCTGGGAGCAGGGGGTGGGGCTTGTTGCATGTGCCCACCCCCTGGGCTCTTTACTGCCGGAGCTCCACTCCTGTGCGCTCCTGCAGGAAATGAGCCCTGGGTCTCTGTCAGAGAAATGTGCCCTTCCTAACATTACCACAGCAGGCACTGTAATTAGACATTATTAAGCTGCCATCAGGAATCTGAACTGCAACTGTTGATTTTATGTTTTATTATACATTGCTGAACAATCAGCGATTGCTTTACTGGGTGTTCTAAGCCGCCCTGAGCCCGCTTGTGGGGTAGGGCAAGATACAAACGGAAATAAATAAATAAACAAATAGATCTTTTTACTGAGCAGGAAATATACTGGCTTACCGACAAGAGTCGTCCATACTGGGAGATCAGGGAGATCCAGTTCGATCAAATGCTTGAGAACTTCCGTATGAAAGTTCAGCACCGCCAAATGGATCATGTTGTTTCCTTCACTGTCCTTTTTGAGCCAGTTGACAAGGAGGGTGAACAAATACTGAATCGTGTCTAATGCTCCAGAGGTGGCCGCGAGCAAAAGCGGGGTGGAGTGATGTCTGTCGGAGAGAAAGGAGGGGGGGAAGTATTGTGAAGCCCGAGCCTGCCCTTCCCCATGTCTGTGGGTGGGGGCTCTCCGCATTCACCCAGGGCTCCAAAAGTCCTCGGATTAGCCCTGCCTATTCAACATCAGGTCACGTCTGACTTAGGGCAACCCAGTAGGGTTCTCAAAGAAAGAGACATTCAGAGGCGGTTTGCCATTGCCTGCCTCTGCGTCATGGCCCTGGTATTCCTTGGTGGCCTCCCATCCAGATACTGACCAGGGCCGACCCTGCTTCGCTTCTGAGATCTGACAAGAGTGGGTTAGACTGAGCTATCCAGGTCATGGCCAATGGACCATCCAAAAACCCCGAAGGATAGCTAGTATTCTATTTTCCCATCACTTCTTTGAATCCAGCCACCCTTTTCCTTTTCTCTCTCTCTCTTATTTATAATGATCCTTTTAATAATTACATTGTTTGGCCTCACTTGGTACAATTTACTTCTCTGGGATATCTCTCTGAATCTGTTTCTTTACAAAATCCCCGTCGGCTGCAAAAGTGTACGATTTAAAGAATTATATGTTGCCCTCCCTTACCTTATGATTCATTGTTAGTCCCGTGTCAAAACTTGTGTAACTGTAAATCGCTCAGAGCCAGCAGCTCTGCAGGATTGAGCGATCAATAAATCAAAAGGTATTATTATTATTATTTATGTACTAGTCTGCATGAACACTACATCGTTGGTTATGAGGTATTTCCTAGGGTTTCTACCCTGGCACTTTGTTATTGCTCTCACACTGTGCTAGAAGGATACCTTCTCTGCGGTTGCCATCTAGATGGTATCAAAAGGTCCCTGAGTAGTGGCACCTGGTTACCAGGGTGCTTCCCAGGGAACCCTTAGTCTAAGGGAGTTTCCCAACAAGGAAAGATGCTATTCCCCCCTACTTTAAGAGCATAAGGAACCAGTGGTCCATTTAGTCCAGCATCCTGTCTCACACGGTGGCCAACCAGTTCCTCTGGAGGGCCAACAACATGGTATAGAGGCCGGAGGCGGGGTCTACGGCATGATGGCGGACGCCTTTCCCAGCTCTCTGGGGAGGCGCACCGCACAGCAGCGAGGGGGAGAGGTGCCGCTAGATCGGCACCCCCGCGGGAGTTTGGGAAGAACTCCCAAGCCATAGGGCTTTTGAGGGTGAGCCTCTTTTCCTGCTAACTGCTAACTCCGCCCTGACAGTCCCTCTCACTGACTGCGTCCCCTTAGCGAGGCCACAAGCTGTGTCGACCCGATCAAGCGCAGGAGATCTAGCGGAGGAGCGATTAAGAGCGTGGTCAAGATAAAAACCAACAATGAACTGTGAGTTAAGGAGCAAACTGTGAGTGAAAAGGAGCGATTTGTCTTCAGAAGAGAAAATCCCCCCCCCAAAGGAAAAACTTTTTGAGCGATTGGAACGTGCTGAGAGAGGGACGCCTCTCAATGCATTTACATAAACGAAGGAGGGGGAGAGAGAGAGAAACGATTGTAAACGGATACTTGAAGTGAAATCCCCCCTGAAACCCCTTAAGCGATTGGAAGGGGGTGCCTCTCTGACATGTTTTACATAAACAGATGAGGGGAGGGGGAGAGAGAGAGGCAGCTGTAAACGGATACTTCTGAAATACTTTATTTACAAGCGTGCGAGCCTGTTGTGGGAGATCTCCATGAGCTTTTAAACAGCATATGCGATTTGCAGAGCCGGGAAGAAAGAGATTTTACTGAAAATAAAACGTTGAAATGGCAGGCACTCCAAAAAAAGATGGCGAAAACTCTGAGAAGAAGGGAAGTTGACGTCATTGCACTAATAGCAGAAGCCACTAAGCCAATTCTGGAGCAACTTGTTGGTATTAACCAGCAGCTTGCCAAGATAAATCAACAACCAGCAGCTTGCCAAGATAAATCAACAATTTGTGTCCCGGCAGCTCCAGGAGGCGATAGTAGAAAAAATGGAATTGAGGGCTTTCAAAGAGAATGAGATGGACACTAAATTAAACAGCGATCTCAATGAGAAAAGAAGAAAAAGCACAAGAGAAACAGGAAAGATTTACAAGGGTTTAACTCCTTCTTTGCTAGTGTTCTTAGAAAGTGTCATCTTAAATCCTGCTGAGAGAAAAGAGCTGGAGCTCTCCTTCACAATCAAGAAACCTTTGAGATGCCACTGGGCCCCGAGACCAGAGAGGAAGAGACTTAAGGCTGGCGGTTTTATCCCTTTGGACGGAAGAAGACTGGGATGCAGTGAACGTCTAAGAAGCCATCAAGATTTTAGAGAGTTTTAGTATAGATGTAAAGGCGGAAGGACTTTGCAAATTGCCTTTATGAAGCGAGCTGGAGGAGATGCTCGGGAAATCTTCTCATAACAAGTAACAAACTAACATATAAGCTTAGAAAGACAGGTCCTCGCAAAGTATATTGTTTATTAACAGCTTTTCTTTAATACTAACAGTAGTTTAACAGGGAATGATCTCCTAACCTTGGGTATTTAGTTTAGTTTAGTGTGGGTTGCCTTTTCTTTCTCCCTAATTGTAGTTCCCCTATTCCTATTTTTCTTGGTAGTTTTGTAGTATCAAAAAAATGAAAAATTCCCTCCGGGGGCTTAAAAGAAACAACAACATGGTATAGAGGCCAAGGCCTTATGTAAGAACATAAGAAGAGCCCTGCTGGATCAGACCAATAATCCATCTGCAGCGTCCTGTTTCACACAGGGGCCAACCAGTTCCTCTAGAGGGTCAGCGACAGGGCAGAGAGGCCGAGGCCTTCCTAAGAACATAAGAAGAGCCCTGCTGGATCAGACCAGTTGTCCATCTAGTCCAGCCTCCTGTCTCACACAGTGGCCAACTGGGTCCTTTGGAGGGCCAACAACAGGGCATAGAGGCCGAGGCCTTCCTAATAACCGAAGAAGAGCCCTGCTGGATCAGACCAGTGGTCTATCTAGTCCAGCATCTTGTCTCACATAGTGGCTAACCAGTTCCTCTGGAGGGCCAACAACAGGGCATAGAGGCCAAGGCCTTCCTAAGAAAATAAGAAGAGCCCTGCTGGATCAGACCAGTGGTCCATCTAGTCCAGCATCCTGTCTCACACAGTGGTCAACCAGTTCCTCTGGAGGTTCAACAACAAGGCAGAGAGGCTGAGGCCTTCCCTGATGTTGCCTTTTGGCACTGGGATTCAGAGGATGACCCCCTCTGAACGTGGAGGTTTCCTTTAGTCACCATGACTAGTGGCTGCTGATAGACCTCTCCTCCATGAATCTATATACTTTCAGTACGTATATTGATGGGGTTTGATAATGCCTGTAATGGCACGCTTTAGAAAGGTGCCTTTGCCAGTCCATGTCGGCTGTTTCCTTGAACTCTCCAAGGAAAGGGCCACACAGAACACTACACCCCCTTCCCACTCACTCAGCCCGTGTCTCCGCCTCCAGAAGGTCTGGGCTCTTCCGGTACAGAACGGCAAAGCAGGCGATGTTGTCGTAATAGGCGGCAAAATGAATGGGCATCCACCCTCGGTTGTCGGGCATCCTGTAATCGGCTTTGAGAGCCAGGAGGAAATGAAGAGACTCGAGAGAGCCAGACTGGGCCGCTAAGTGCAAAGCGGCGGGACCTACAACTAATAGACGAGACACAAGAGAGTCAGCCACAAACAAAAGACCGGGCGCCCTTGCGCTTGCAAAAACCAAAGGCAGGGCCTCCGTCAAGTTGAACGTCCGCTTCCTCGTTTGACGTCCATGTTCTAGTCACACCCTACTTCTCACACGAGTGCGAGACGGAGAGAGTGCATAGAGGGGTGTGTCGGCCGAAATGATGGACGTCTGAGGCAGCCAGTCAGCACGGCGGACCCATCCCTCATGATAACATTTGTGAGGGAAAGCTACAACTCTGAGGGAATTGTGTTCCCCAGGTCTCTGCAGTCCCCCCCCCCTACAAATATTCAGCCTGGATGGCTAGCTGAGTACCTTCCCGCTGGGCTATGCCTCCTCTTCAGTCAGTTAGCCTTTATTGGCATAAATATGCCTCCTCTTGCTTCTTCCCTGTCTCTTGCTGGTGATGTCAAGGTCTATGGGGAATGTCTAATCTCCTATGCGGTTTGTCATATGTGCAATCTTAAGGAGCCGACGCTACCATGGGCACTTTGGGGCCTTGCACCCTTAATTAAAAGCCCCACCCCACAAATAGCCATGCCAGAAACCTTGTTTTTGAGGAGAGACCCTCCCCCCTCCCGAGCGGCCAGGGTGAGAGCGCCACGGCTTGCCCTGGGGCTTCCTTCTCCCTCCCACTGTGGAATTGGGGGGTGGGGCACCATGGGACCCAGGAAAAGACAGCTCAGGGGGCATTGAATTGCCTTCGGAAGGCATTTAAATGCCTTTTGGGGTTCCCTCCCACAGTTAAAAGGACCAGGCAGGAGGTGACGGGAAGGACCCTGGCTCAGTGGAAGTGCCTCTGCTTGGCACGCAGAAGGTCCCAGGTTCAATCCCCGGCATCTCCAGTTAAAAGGACCAGGCAGGAGGTGATGGGAAGGACCCTGGCTCACTGGGAAAGTGATGGGAAAGACCTCTCCGCCTTTGACCCTGGAGAGCAGCTGCCAGTCAGAGCAGTAACAATCTGATTCAGTAAAAGGCAAGTTTCATGCACGTACATGTGCTTGTGTGCTGAAAGTGTAACCCCGTGTTCCCTTGTTTGCTGCCCCAATGCCTGCATTCCTCCAGTCTGGCAAAGGGTTGTGGGCAGGGCATTGACTGTGTAGCTCCCTGCAGTGCCTGAGCTCCAGGACCTTCCTGTGAGCTGTGGGGCCAGCAGCTCTTTCCTCCTGGCGCTCGCCTCTGGGCAAGGGCAGTGTGAAATCAGGGTCCTGTGGCCGCAGTGATGGGCAGCGGTTGGCTGTGCCAGTGTGCCACTCACAGGGATATGTCACTTGCACTGCTTCGTGACTGGCAGGTGCTGCAAGCCCTGCTGAGGACTTGGTAGGAGGGGCACACTCGCTATGTTGTCTGGACCTTGTGGAAGGGGGTTTCTCTCCCGCCCTCGCTGAATGGGCACGGGTCACCACTTGGCAGCACCCATGCTGGGGCAGAGCCCTGCTGGCGTAGCCACGCTGGCATAGGACAGCAAAGTATCTGGAATGCGACTGATTTAATGGTCTGGACAACATTTAAAGAAGGTAACACTGGATTTAGTTGCGACTCACGACTTCTGTCTCCTTCCTTTTCGGCGACATTCATAATTCCTGAAACTGAACAAGTTTATTATTTTATACCATTTTTTTAAATTTAGAAACACAGATGTAGGCAAAACACAGACATATTCGTTGTTTAATTTTAATCTGTATTATTGTAATTCTTATGCTATTTTATGTAAGCCTCCCCTGGCTGGGAGGACGGGATAAAAATGTAATAAATAAATAAATAAATAAAAATAAATATTAGCGCCGTGGCTCCCCATCTGCGGATATCTAAATCCACACATCAAGGCCACGTGGATGCTAGCAAGATTTTTCTTCGTTTGCCGGATCCACGAGTTCTTGTATTGTGAGAAAGGGAGAAAAGTACCTCTTTCTCTACCTGCTCTTTTCCATGCATAATCTTATAAACCTCGATCATGTCACCCCTCAGTCGTCGTTTCTCCAAGCTAAAGAGCCCTAAGCGCTTTAACCTTTTCTCATAGGGAAAGTGTTCCAACCCTTTTATCATTCGAGTTGCCCTTTTCTGCACTTTTTCCAAAGCTATAATATCCTTTTTAAGGTGTGGTGACCAGAACTGCACATAGTATTCCAAATGAGGTCTCACCATTGATTTATATAGGGGCATTATGATATTGGCTGATTTGTTTTCAATACCCTTCCTAATAATCCCCAGCATAGCATTGGCCTTCTTTATTGCAGTCACACACTGTCTCGACATTTTCAGTGAGTTATCTACTACAACTCTTGATCAATCTCTGCCAGTTCAGACCGCATCAATGTGTATTTATATTTAGGATTTTTGGCTCCACAGCTTAGAGGGAACATTGCTGGCGGGTGCTGCAAGCCCTGCTGAGGACTTGGTAGGAGGGGCACACTCGCTATGTTGTCTGGACCTTGTGGAAGGGGGTTTCTCCTCCCCCCCCCCGCTGAATGGGCACGAGTCACCAGTTGGCAGCACCCATGCTGGGGCAGAGTCCTGCTGGCATAGGACAGCAAACTATCTGGAATGCGACTGATTTAATGGTCTGGACAACATTTAAAGAAGGTAGCACTGGATTTAGTTGCGACTCACGACTTCTGTCTCCGTCCTTTTCTGCGATGTTCATAATTCCTGAAACTGAACAAGTTTATTATTTTATACCATTTTTTTAAATTTAGAAACATAGGTGTAGGCAAAACACAGACATATTCATACGAGCGATATATAACATTGATTCAGCGAGACACGTGGGCTATCTATATACTGTTATGAGAAAAGCGAGTAACAACATCGCCGTGAAACTATTGATGCTGGCACTTTATTATGTTTTATGGTTTTTAGCATTGTTTATTTGCATTAACTGATGTTGCTTAATCTTAATCTGTATCATTGTAATTCTTATGCTATTTTATGTAAGCCTCCCTGAGCCGGCCCTGGCTGGGAGGACGGGGTAGAAATTTAATAAATAAATAAATATTAGTGACGTGGCTCCCCATCTGCGGATATCTACATCCGCAGATCGAGGCCATGTGGATGCTAGAAAGATTTTTCTGCAAATTTGCAGGACCCCCTAGGTTTGCAGAAAAATCTTAAACCTTCAAAGAAAATACACAGGGGTCTGGCTGCTGCAAGAAGAATGGAGGTAAGGGCCTTTTTGGAGTCGTTCCCAAATGACGAATCCCAGAGATTGAGCAAGGAGAGTTCCGGAGTGACAGGGAGTGTTTGTTGTGTGATGCTGTTGATTCCGGGAGATTATGTCCTTCCAGAATTGCTGAATGACTGGGCATTGCCACCAGCAGTGTAAGTACGTTTGATCTTAATAAACATTTCAAAATTCAAAAACAACAACAACAAAACACACACAGGGGGATTTAAACCCCCCCCCCAAGTAAAACCTACCTCCGGCAGTTGGAGGAGGCCAGCAACGCACTAGGGGAAGTCGAACAGCCCAGGTAGCTGTGCGGGTTCCGGCAGTGGCAACACAGCCCAGGGAGAGCACAGGGGCTGCCGCGGGCCTGGCAGTGGCTGCTGAACAGCCTGGGGCTCCACGCTGAGCCCAGGAACAGCTGCCAGGAGCCCAGGGGCTATGCTGGGCTTGGCGACGGGGGGAAAGAAGCGATGGGATTCCCTCTAGGAGTCTCGCGGGGCCCCACTTGTAGAAGAAGAAAAGGAGGAGGAGGAGGAGATTGGATTTATACCATGCTCTGAGGTTTACAAACTCCTTTCCCTTCCCCTACCCATAACAGACACCCTATGAGGTAGGTGGGGCTGAGAGAGCTCTTTCCAGAACTGTCCTTGAGAGAACAGCTCTGACAGAACTATGGCTTGCCCAAGGTCATCCAGCAGCTGCAAGTGGAGGAGTGGGGACTCAAACCCGGTTCTCCCAGATTAGAGTCTGCGCCCTAAACCACTGCACCAAACAAAGAATATTGTGATTCGGAGAGTATAAATTAAATTCTGCCAGGTCACTAAATTGCTATAACATAAACAATATCTTGATTAGCTTGCCCATACAGAGACACACACACAAATTATGAACATGGTCCTATCGTCATAAACAACACAATGATAACAACAATGATTCTGTAATTCTTCAAAATGCAAATAGCAATGCCACATAGATTGTTCAGAGTACCTCACAGAAAACATAAGGAGAAATTCCCTCTATAGCCTTATCATTCCAGAAAATTATTAACATAGTTCAACATTCCATAAACTTATTTGAAATAGCAGAAGTTTCTTAATGTTCTTTATTGATTTTGGTGTAGTGGTTAAGTGCGCGGACTCTAATCTGGGAGAACTGGATTTGATTCCCCACTCCTCCACTTGCACCTGGCTGGATGACCTTGGGGAAGCCATAACTCTGGCACAGCTGTCCTTGAAAAAGAGCAGCTTCTGTCAAAAGCTCTCCCATCCCCACCTACCTCACAGGGTGTCTGTTGCGGGGAGGGGAAGTCGCTCTGATACACCTTTGGTTTGTGAAGGGCGGGGTATAAATCCAATCTCTTCTTCTCTTCTTCTTCTTCTTAATAAGCAATAAATTCCCCCAAACAGAATTCAACCAGTCTTTTGGAGCCAGAGGGTCTGGGTTTATTTATTATTAATTTATAACCAACCCAAACATACAGCATATGATATCCTGCCCAACAGCATGATAGCAAACATAATCATTTCGTAAATGAGAAAATCATATTACTCTTATCACAATGCCTATGTTATCAAAGTTTGATCTCAGCACGAGAGAAATTACAGTCCATGGATTCATTTATCCAAAGACATCTAAATAGGACAAAAGCTTTTAGACAGAAAACAATAATTGAATTACGTGAGAAAAGGAACATTCAGCACTTTAGGAAAGATTAAATATTGAATACATAATTTAAAATATCAAATTAAAAGTAAAACAATCACAGAATCACTGCATATTTAGCTAGGTAGAGAGGTATTGGTA